ATATCAAACGATGGGATGTCAGGTAACAAAAAAAAGTCCTAGATATTGGGGGTATATGGCGAAGAGATGGAGTAGAAAAATTTTGATGTATGTATCTTTCAACTTTTTAACTCTTTCTTCATCATTACCAACTTCGATTACGACATTCACGACATGTTCATTTTTATTGCATGCATAATGATGTAGTTCGGAAAATCGTGTTATCCTCGACTGACTAAATGTCTAACGCGTCCATTCCTCATAATCCCTTCCCATTAGTGACCCGGTTACCCTTCACACCGCGCGCTTCCGAGGTCTAAATAACTTCTTTCTCACATCTTATAACTTGTATATATTATAATCAAAATCGAATGCCGAATTTCGTACTTTAAATGTGGTAATAGCAGAAACGACATGTGGTACATGTGTACACGTATGATGAAGGTTTAGAATGTTTGTCAGAAAAAAAAAAGAAGCTTTTTACCAATAATTAGAATAGCATAATTGCTCTTTCTCTTTTACTGCATACTACTCGAAATTATCCGTAATTATCCGTAACGCAAATAAACATCGTTCATATGTATAGTAAAGAACATACGACTTACAATTATTCAATATTTGACAACTGGCGATTATGCATTTAATAAATTTAAAGTGATACGTCGGATTGTATTTCATGAAAGACGCACACTTGCGTATCTTCCTGTTTAGAGCGTGATGAATGCACAGAAACTAATTCGTTCGAGGAATTAAAAATTTTTTTGATCCGAACAAATATTTATTCGATCAAATGACGTATTACGTATGTTAAGTGGTAGTACTCGATAAAATGTGCGACAACCAAATATAATCGCGTGTTTACAGAATCATAAAAAAAAAAAAAAAACAAAAAAACAAACTTATCACCGATATTTCCGCACACCTTTTTCTTTTTGATCATTAAAAATTTCCATCTAATATTATTAGTGTATACAGTATGAAGAATTAATAATTAAGTTTAAAAAAATATATTGTATACGTGTGTACTGTAGATTTCAGAAAAACAACCATACAAGAAATGTATATACAATGTACAGTATATACAATACACATGATACAGTATACGTAATTATTTAACTTTGATTCAAAATTTTAAAATATCATCGTGAAACGAGAGATCAACGATCGAAGCGCTTCGTGCAATTTCGTGCAATTTTTCATGCAATTTCGTGCAATTTTTCGTGCAATTTCTCGCGCAAATGAAAGAAGCATCGGAAGGAGTTGTTCTGATTAAAGCAACGTCTCCTCCGTTCGCCCGACGAGAGAAGGAAGAAATTTCAATGGTTTATGGGTTTTGATGTAGGTTCAATGCGATGGAAAGTGCGGAAAAAAATTAATAAAAAAAAAAAAAGACGGAATGCAATCGTCATCCCATAAGTACTCCATTATCAATAAAACGACCAAAGTCAATCTCTGATTGTGTACCGACAAAGTCTAAATCCATGCGTTGACCGCGATTAAAGAAGTGATTCTTATAATCGCGAGTTTTCGTGACGCACAGTTTCGCTACTTTGTGAAATCAAACTTAATAGCTCCATTGTTATTTGCCGAGTACTTCTTTAATCACGAGTAAACACTCGGAATTGTACGTGGATGCACATGCTGATCTTCCAAGAGTTAAAAAAGCCACGTAAAACATGAAATTGCGGAATTTTTTTTGTTTGCATACATACAATTTTTCTTTGGAATATATTCACGCAACTTGTTTACGAAATAAAACATGTAAGAGAAATTATAAATAAAAGGGACGATGAGACCAACTTCCTCCTATTTAACTACTCTCAAATCTGCCTTCCCGCCAACTCCTTCCTTTGAAATAAACAACCACAGAAAGTATCATCCCGCAAACACTGGCGATTGCCAATATGGTAAATAGCCAACCATACCCATAGGATTTTAATAAAGAGGTTACCACGGTCATTATTCCTGAGACTATAAATGACATTGAATCACTTACCAACACCATGGCGGCGGCGTGCGGTGGATGTGCGTCACCCAAGTACGCGAGTGCTGAGGTGAATACCACATTGATGCTGAATCCACCTAAGGGATTGAGTAAATTATTGTCAAAAAAATCCGAAACAGGTTAAAACAATAAGGTTGAAGTTATAGGCATACCAACGAACAGAGCAATTAGTGGCACAGAAATATGAATTCCATTTTCCAATGCCCATCCAAAAGTCACATAGCATGCTGGAATCATGATGGCACCAATCCAAAAACTGTTGATCCGTTTCTCCGGTATGCTTTCCACATTTTCGCTTTCCCCCTTCTCCCGCAATTTTTCGGATATGAAATCGGAAAATTTTCCACCCGTTATGCACCCGAGAACATTCCCAAATCCCGGCAAGAGATAGATATAGCCAATAACATGGGTAGGGAGTTTATATATGGATGTGAATGACACGGGAATTGTGATATTTTGGACGTAAGTTATCGAGGTTATGGTAGTTATGTAAATGGATATAAGGAAAACGGTTGGGTAGGTTAGAATACGAAGGGGACGCAGAGGGTTAAATGGTATTCGTACAGTGGGAGATGAGGGTTGATGGGCTTCGGGCGAAAGGGGATGAGGCAGACGATATGTTTCGGGAACGAATAGGATGATGAGAAGGAGGAGAAATGAGACGTAGATGGCGAGAAACCAATTTATCCACCGCCAACCAAAATACTCATCTACATACCCTCCAATCACCGGACCAACCAGTTCTCCGAAACAGTGTCCGGCAAAGTACACTCCGAATGCAAAGTTTCTGTCTAAATTTTCAGAAAGGTTAATCGTAACAAACGGATCCAGAGTTGCAAACACATCATCTTACCATTCGGTCCAAATATATCGCTTAAAACGGCAGCACCAACACAAATCGCACTTGAAGCTCCACAAGCTTGCAAAATCCGCATTGCGATCAACACCCAGATGTTTGTGGAAATTGCGCTTATAACACTCGCACATATAAACAGAGTAAAAGATATCAGGTATATCCTTCTTCTGATTCCATTGGCTTCCGAGTATTGAGCCCAAAAAAATGCCTGAACCGAAAACAAAAAAAACGAATCTTTAGTATACTGTTCGGAAAATTGAACGAACGAGAACGTCCATACCCACCATTATTCCCCAAAAAACAATATAGATACCAACTACAGAACGTCAATGTGAAAATAAGTTTGTGCACAAAGATCTTAGTCGAATGGATAAACAATACATATTTTA